TGGGTACAAGTAGGTAAGTGTGTCTTTTCCGAAAAAATCGCAATTTTGCACAAAAAAACAAATTAAAAGTTCGGTCGCCCAGGTACTGGAAATAAAATACGAGTACCTTATAAAAAGGAAAATAGCTCTCGTTTTAAAATTGTAATATTCATTTACTGTCTCATCAAATATGACCAACCACACACTGAAGGTGCCAATTTGTCAATCGGAAAAATACGTAACAAGATACTTGTATGTAATTTGCTAGTAATTATGCCCCTGCGTGAGCCATATACTAACTATAAGAAAGACTTAGAATTGCAACTGTCTATTAAAGTCACTCTGCCCATGTTTTATGTCAACATTTATAAAACAAATAATTAATGATGAAGAAAAAATGCTTTCCCTCTAGTCTAGAGTATTTAATTATGTATTTTTCTGTATGTAATTGTATCATTTAATATAGAATTACATATACAACTGAGTAATAGGCAAATACATTTATTGTAGTACTTAAAAGGTGTTATGTCTCACTTTTTTTTTAATTCAACCCTTTTTGTACCACAAAAAAATGTTTTTTAATCACAAGTAATATTAATAATCGATAACTTCTAATATATTATTATTTCGTCTCAGAATATGCATACTAAATAAACTAATAATATTCAAAAAATATTTATAAGTATTTAAAATTTATTGCATTTCACATCACTATTATATGCATCCAGCGATGAGTCACAGTATTTATGCACTCATACAGAGGAAGTGTGTTACGTTTTCATTCCTTAAGCTTATAAAGTTCTAAGCTTTGGAATATGTTCATGTGTGGTATTCGTAGTAAGAGTTTAAAAACAGAGAAGAAAATATAGAACAAGTTAGTCTACAAGGACACTTTTAAATCTAGATTCAATCATACACAGACTTTGAAAACTTAGGAAATGATAATTTAGAGTTTATTTTTATATATTTTTTTTACATAATTTCTTCTTAACAAACACATTATAATTCCAGAGTAGTCTCATATAAATTTTAAGTAAAATCAACCTTTTAGTATATGTTGATATAAATACTTTAATATGACTAAAACTAATTCATTAATTAGCGCAATTAACTATAATTTTGTACCCGAGATCTAAATGGCCTATTGAACTGTGATATATCTCAGGATATCTGTCTCTACGTTGGTTATCGCGAGTTCATATCCCGTTTTACACAATAAATTGTAATATAACTATTTATTTGTTATTTTTCAAGTTCATATTTACTGAAAATTAAGAATATTAGGAAAATTTAAATGTTTTTAGTTTTGACCTCAATTGTGAAGACAAGTGATAGGTATCTAATAAAAATATAATTGTGAACTAAGAAAAACTAATCTATCCCATGGGAACCGTACATTTTTCTGGGATAAAAAGTACCTATTTGTTATTCTTATGTATAAACTATATTATTGTAAAGTTAGCGATAGAGGATATAAGGTACCACAATGCAAAATTTTATTTAAATCAGTCCAACGTTCTTGGAAATTAGCCCGTACAAAAAGACAAACAGACAGAAAAACAAAAAAATAGATTTTTTTTTAGATTTCTTTGATTTCTCTTCTCGCATCCCCCTGACTCGGGTTTTAGCATTTTTTTCTATGTACAGACATTCGACCTCTACAGTTTTATTATATGTATAGATAATTTGATATTCGATCACTGTAGTATTCGAAGCTATACAGAATATTATATACTAAAAGTTACAATTTTCAAGATTTATTAACTAATAAGGACAAAGAATTCTAACGATGAACAGTTCTAACCAGGAATCTGCCATATAATAGCTGCAAATGTTAACGTTGATAGGTAGTTTAATTAAACCCGTACGTCGATGTCCCAACAACGACCAAGACGAATGACCGCAATTGAAATACCATGAGAAATACCACATACTTCTTTTGATATTGTGCAAAATGAAAGATTTTTTGGCTTCACAACAACAAGTACGGTCACTACAGACTAAGTCAAACGTGTCGTCAAATGAAAGGGGTGTGTTTGTGGGTATGGTGTCATACTTTGAAATATTTTTTCCTTTCGACGAAGTTAAAATATAAGTAAGATAAAAACTTTTTAAACAAAATAAAAACCGACTTCCAGGCACTAAAATGTAAAAAATAACTAAACGGGGGTTTTTCATTTAGAATAAATACCTAATCAGATTTTTTCAAAGTCGGTGCCAGCCGATGCAAAGCAAATCTAATATTGTTCGTACGTAAGTAAAACACATATTTACCTATTAGATACTCATATCTTAAAATATTGTAGGCTAGCACCAAATTCGAAAATATGATTAGGTATAGATTCCAAATGAAAATTCCCATTTAGTTATTTTTTACATTTTAGTGCCTGGAAGTCGGTTTTTTTTTTCAAGTTTTTATTTTTCCATTTTTAGTGTAAACGTAATAAGCAGGTAATTTTTTAGAAGAAAAATTATTAATAACATGTTCGATTATGCAATTTATTTAAAAGAATAATTTAAATGTTTATTTAAAAAAAAAACCGCTGGACCGATTTCGATAAAATTTATATGGGCCCACCTGGGAAGTATACCCTTTGAAACAAAAAAAAATCCAAATCGGTTCAGGCGTTTTCGAGTAATCGGTGAACATACATAAAAAAAAAGATTCCGACGAATTGAGAACCTCCTGCTTTTTGGAAGTTAAAAAAGTAAAGATAATGGTATCATAGAATGTCGCAGCCATAATATAGTTAGCTACGGAATAAAGAAAATATATGAACATACAAATCGAAGGGCCATTCCGATAAGGCTGTTTATTTTTGTATTCAGCGAGCGCCCGCAATATTTTTTATTGAGATAATCCTCATGATACATTGGACATAACTATGATTTATTGTTTAACTTACGATTAGAATTTGGACGTTATCAATGTAAATAGAAATACAAATAATATTACCACTGAAACATTAGTTTCAGTCGGAAGTATTTTAGAAATGGCTGAGGAATAATAAATCAGTTTTTTTATTATAAATTTATGTATATCTATACCAATATTATAAAGAGGCAGAGTTTGTTTGTCTGTCTTTCTGTCCGTCCGTCTGTCTGTCTGTCCATCCATCCGTCCGTACGTTCGTCCGTTGTTTGTTTGAACCCGTTAATCTCAGGAACTACTAATCCGATTTGAAAAATTATTTTTGCATTAGATAGCCCGTTTATTGAGGAAGACTATAGGCCTATATATCATCATACTACTACATATTTTATACTAACCGTCAATAGCTATGAAATGTCGTAGTCGTGAAATAAGGGCGAGCCGCTAGTATGTATATATGTGTATTAATTACTCCTTAAGGTTGAAATAGCTGAAAGAATTTGGATAAAATTTTGTTCACAAATAGACTATTACCTGGAGTAACACATTGGCTACTACTAGGCAACTAGGGACGCACCCTAGCGAAACAAGGATGAGCTGGTAGTAAAAAAATAAATAAAATATATTTAGAGAGAAACCTATTTAAGCAAAATGATCCCCTCACTGGAAATTGGCTCACAATTTTTACACTTGCCGCAATTGTTGCGAGTGTCAATCAAATAACGCTTCTGTTGAAGTGCTTTGAAGCGGCTAACTCTTATTACAAGGCTAGTTGCAATCAAATCAAGCTTAAAGCGCTTTAAATGTAGCTTTTACATAACTTTCTTTTGACTGTATTTATTCTGATATAGTTTTCATGTGTTAACAAAACCACGTAACAATCTAACATCAACATATCGTAACAAATCTATCTATCTATCTATTATTCTATTTTATCTTCATCTTATGTATGTTGTACTGACAAACATAATTTTTTACAAATTTTGTAATTTGCCCCTTGCAAAGAATCGAATCCACGATTCTATTATTTTAGATAGGCAGACTTAAAAACGTTGACAATTTCATAGTTACCAGTTTATTTTGCATTATAAATATAATTATTAAAGCGCTGCATCCAAAAGCGTATCATTTTAACAATTTAATGCGCATGAGAGGTTTCTGGTGACAAGTGAATAGCAATCGCTCAAGTGGGATCAAAATGTATTTCGGATTAATTTTCTCGAAACACGACCATCTGTCCAATTACTATGAAATGTGGATCGTTGGAATGAATTGTAACGTTTAGTGTTGTTAATTATAATAAAATATAAGTGATTTATTCTCGCTTCACTCGTATCCTTGTGCATTTCTTGTATATAATATTACTGTATATAATATATATACATATATATGTATATAATATGTATACTATATATATACTCATGGCTTTGCTTGCGCTAAAACTACAACAAAACTCTGTTTTAATACAAATTTTCATCCCCTATTTTATCCTCATATGGGATGAATTTCGAGAAATGCTAAGACATGTATTTATTTAATCATATTAAAGAGTATTAATAAGATTCGAGTAATTCTAACCATTAATATTTTTGTGGGTTGTATTATAACGTGTTTTTCCGTGGGAGTGAGATAATTTCTCGCAGCAAAAAGTAGACTATGTCACTTTCCAGCCCTACAACCATTTCAACACAATAAATCACGCCAATCCGTCATGACTTTTCGACGTGAAAGAGGGACAAACAAACAAACAAACAAACAAACAAACAAACAAACAAACAAACACACTTTCACATTTATAATATTGAGTATGTGTTATGTTTAGAGTTGGATTTAGGTTTAGATTTTGAGTTAAATTTTGGTTTCGATTTAAGAGATTTAGAAGATTTAGTAGAGATAGTAGGTTTAATGGAATTAGTAGATTTTGTAGAGTTAGTAATAATTTCGGTATTGAGAGTTTGGGGCTGGTTACCCTGTTCGTTAATTACCGATTTTGATTGAAATTCAGTTTGTGTAGACGCATCTTTGAACTGTCTCCGATAGACTGGTGATGCATCAATGATTTCCTTAGAGATAGTTGGGCTGTGTCCCCGATGGACTGGATTTGGGTAAATACGACTAAGATTTTGTTTAGGTAAAGCGGGTTTCTTTACCATTGAATTTGGGAGTGTTCTAGAATTAGATTCGGTGTCGGAGTCTGAATCGTTGAGCAGGAGGTTGAAGCGGTTTCCAACGAGCTGCTCGCCTCGCTGGTCACTTCGGAGTTTAAATTATTCACACGGGGTGCTGGTAACGGAGCTGGTAAGGCGCGCTGTGTCGGAGTGCGCATTTGTGTGGATGGAGCTGGTAGTGCTCTATATATCCCAGGTTGGTTATTTTGAATACTATTATTGTAAGCTCTTTTCCGACATTCCGAAATGAGATGTCCGGGTTTTTTGCAATAATTACATATTTTATGAGGTGTATGCGTGATATTAGGTTTGGTGTAATTTATGCGATTAGTATCGCTTGGTTTACTTGGTTTATGATTAAATAAAAGTTGTCTTGAGGCATTCATTGACCTAATCTTGTCTTCCTCTATAGCGAAACGTCCTGCTTCGGTAAGATTCTGGAAACCACGCGTCCTAAGCATTGTACCTATTTCGCTAGATAACCCGTTTACGAAGACGCTTAAGGCGGTCTCTTCCGTACTTGCTATGCGGCCTGGTAAGGTACCATCTTTAATTTCAGTGCTCAACTTTTCTATTATTTTACTCCTACAAAGGTCTACCCTATGATAATAATCTGTTAGGCTTTCTCCTTGTTTTTGAAACATAGATTGGAGTTCTAAATTTAGGTGTGATATTGTTTTGACATTTGAAAATTTCTCTATGAGGTAAGACTTAAGGTCCTCCCAAAAAGCATATTGCCTACAATGTATATCTGGAGCACCCACTCCTGTTATATTGTTGAGAGCATAGACGAGAAGTATTTGTTGTTTTTCAACGTCTGCCGCTAGTTGAAACGCGGAATCACATGATCTAACAAATCTGTAGACTTCTTGTGTTTTAGAGGTGTCGAACGTGGGGATGAGTTTAATTAGGGTGTTTATTTCAAGAGACATGTTTGAATTGTGTGTGTGTGGTGAATTTAGTGATTTAGAAATTGAACAAGGTTCGTGTTTGATAGATTTGAACATGTATAAATTAAAAATACACAAAATATACAAAAATATGATATAGGGAAAGGTATGAGCAGACAAATTTAGCCACTTACCACAATAACGTTAAAAACAGGATCATCGCAGGTCCGGCGAACACTTTCAAAAGCCTTTAGCTACCGTGTTATATGCTTGATATACGCGTTTATGTTCGTCTTTTTGCGAGTTTATCCTACCGACTGCGCCAAATTTGTTATGTGGCGAGAGCAAAATAAGTCTTTTTAAAAACTAATTTATTTATTAACACTGAATTTAACAAGATTTAATATAAAGAAATTGAATTATTAGAAATCGTAATAAACTTATACTAAAGAAACAGAGTAAAGATCTTGAACGAAGTTAGAAATAGGAATCTCTTTATTTCGGGAGTGCGGGAGTATTTATATGGGTTTGGAATAGGAGGGGATAATTAGTGGTGAGAACTATTTTACATAACAAATTTGTTAACACTAATTAAGGGCTAAAGGTTGTTAAAATAATGATTATTTACTAATGATCTAAACACAATATAGAAGTACACAGTAGATAAGAGATTTATATAATATATGTGAGTACATGTCCAATAATAGGTATAGGTAAGTGCATATGTAACATATGGATATGGATTTACAGGAAGTACCTTTCGGCAAATTTTATTACTAACAGTAGTCTTTGTTTTACTTCAGACCATAATCTATCTGTGTACCTACATATCATCCAAATCCATCCAGTCGTCCATATTTCAACATTCATCACAGTGTTTGTTACTCCTAAACAAGACATATATTTTTGTTTTAAGAAAAAAAATATTCCAAGCTCAATTCATCTCATTGCAAAGACACGTACCCAAAATCAACACAATTAGGTGTTCAACGACGTTATTAGGTCTGTTTGCTGAACAAACCTCGTGATCCTTACCGAGGTGACTGTAGAAATGTTTTTACTGGTAAGTGTTTGGTTTTCGTGGTCTGAAATAATGGTAATTGGTTAGAACGATTATTAGCTTAAGTTTAAACGATTTTTTCTTAGGTTGCTATTATAAAATGTACATATTATGTATATATTTAAAAAATGTTCTGGACCCCGTTTACCCATTGCTATTATATCCTACAGTTTTCTGGCACATTTCAATGCTAACTACATAATCGATTATAGTGTACGTACTATAGTTAAAAATATTATATTTCATTCTAGTAGGAGATCCCGATCTATGTGATGGACCCCTCACACTTTTTCCAGACGTGTTTTTTAAACCATAAAATATATTAATAAATACGACCCAGGGGCGATCCAGGCTATTTTTTACCAAAACAAAACCTCTAGTCTAAACTAAAAATATGCTACAAAAACAATCTGAAGATTTTTATAAAAAATATAACATTTCCGCTTCCGGAAAAAGCTGCGAGTAGAAACTAGTATTCATTTTAATGACAAAACGCTTTAACTCCATTAGTACATATTTGTATAAATATCTTTTTTATTCAATAATTTCCACTGTAATAACACCCCTTAAAAACGATCACGTGACAAATGTCAGATGTTGATGTGTAGGGGTTAGAATTAATTAAAAATGATGAAATAAAATTAGATAGATGAGTATTATACAATATGGTGTTCTAAGTAAAAATATGTATTTTTTTCCTTTTTTAATATTTAAAGATTTACATTTAAAAAAATATAACCCAACTGCATGAAAGCTAACTTACTATAAAGATGAAAACAAGCTCACGAAGGAATATATTATATACATAGTTTGACATAGTTTGACGACACGTTTGGCTCAGTTTGTAGTGGGTTGTACTTGCTGTGCCGGCGATCGCGGGTTCGTGTCCCGCTGGGGGCATTCATTTGTGTTTTGAGCACGAATTTTTGTACTCCAGTCATGGGTGCTTATATTTATAATATGTATGTATTTAAAAAGTTATATATGTGTAATGTATCAACTATCTGGTATCCATAACACAGGCCTCGTAGCTTACCATGGAACTAGATGGTGTTGCGTGTTAATGTCCCAACATATTTTTTTTATAGTATTATGCAGTCAGAGGCATACACGTTTCATCCTTGCCGCGAAATGTACACTCTACTACTACTACTACTCTACATATATCTCCGACTGCATAATACTATATTCCTTAGAAATATATAAATAAATATGAAGACTTAAATAGATATTATAGATAGATAAACCCAAATGAGATTAAGTTAGATATCAGAATTAATTAAGACGCGGTAGATTGTTTGGTTTTAGTTGATAGTACTGGCTTTTTAAGTCCCACACAATCACCTGTACCTATATATACAGGTGACACGCGTAAATGCACTTCCCCAAATAAAAAAAGATTCATCACAGAAGTACATATTTAACATTGAACTGAATCTTAAAAACTGAAGATTTTTTCTGAACCACATATTAATTTTTGTTAACTCATATTTAATATAACATCGCTTCTGTGCAAAACGATACTCTTAATTAAATGAAGACCGCATAGCGTGACCGCGTACAAAATACAGTACAAATGACACAAAGTTATTGCAATACGATTTATGAGTAATTGCTTTAATGATAGGGACTTGTTTTAATTCGCCTCTATTTTACTGATGTATAATGGGATTTCAATTAGAACTGTACGTGTCGTTTTGTATTATATGAAAAAAAAACAGAAATATGGTTTCTTCATACAGATATAATTTGATCATGCCATTTTTGTCTGATCTATTATTATCCTCTTTATAAACTTTGGCCACGGCGGCCAATTTCATTAGGACTAGCTATCTGCGCAGGATATTATAGTGCACAAGGATGTGTGCAAATACAAGTGCACTCTCTAATCCTGTCACTCTCATATTACGGCACGTAGGTGAATCACCGACTTCCGAGCTCCGGGGCGTTACTGAGAATTCCTTGACTGGAATACTCAATACTTGTCTCGACCTCGACTCGAACCCAGGACCTCCTGCGGCTGTACATGCAACCGAGGTAGTTGCAATTTATAATTAATGGTATACAAATCCACAAACAAACTATAGTTTCATTAAATTCTGCCAAATCATTTCGTTATTAATTACTAGAATAATATCAAATGAAAAATACACAGTCATTAAATGACCCCTGTCCACTCATACGGGTGCAAATTATATGACCTCGATGCATCGTTGCTCGCATAAACTGATTTGCTATGCCGCAAGTATAGTCAAATAGCGTTTTTTTAAATACTTCAAAAAAGGAAATAAAATCTTTCATTACATTATAATACTTTATCTTAAAAAATATTTTAAAATAAATTTAAAATTTTATGAAATATTTATATAAAATTTAATGGTTAAATAAAATTAATAAAGTTTTGATATAATTATTAACACTTTATTGAAGATATAATTAAACTAATACTTTCTTAGATTTACGCGAATGTTTGACATTATTAAATAAAACTATCTTTTCGGATTATTTCGCGGATTTATTTTGATTTTTGGTTCCCGACTGCGTTTTTTCATTTTGTTAATTGTGGGTAGGCTGTCTGTAACAACTATACATTCAAGATAATAAACTAAGATTATTATGAAATACAATAAAACCTAAATGACATTCTAAGAAATTTAAATGGACCCCAGAGAAAAATCTATTTGAAGTCAATCGGTATATGAATAAACTCCTATATAACTTTAACGCTTGTCACTAATAACTTGAACAAAAGTGATAATGTTTATAGTATAAGAGAAGAGAGAAAAGCACTTAGTATAATTAGATTGTGGAAAACGAACTTGGACTGTATCGCCGGTCATTATGTACGGGGTGATCACAAAGTGAAACGATTTGTAATTAGACTTGCTTGAAAATTAGTTTTCTGAATTTATACTTTTTTTATCACGTTTGGAAAAAAATGTAAGAGTAAAATTTTTACGATGCGCGCGCACCGACAGCCAAAATGCGACATGATGAAGTTAGCTGCATTCCTTTTACAAACCGAGAGTTGGGTCATACGAGATGAGATCTTTAGCTATTTTTGTTCTATGGCGCCAAAGAAGTATAACTTCTTAGTTAGTAATAAAAATTTAATCATAATATCTACATATTTAAAATCTATAATATAGTTATTTTATATTAAATGAGAAGAAAATGATGGCTCTAGAAAATAAGGACGAAATATATGAGCGTAATAAGTAGAAGTATAAGTAGATTTAAGTCACAGGCTAAAATTTCGAGTAGTTTATTTAGTCTGAACCAGATATCGTAATTTTGATGTATAAAAATATTAACGCGCTTCCCTTAAAAGATTATAATTGAAGCAATAGGTAAGCTAAATAAAAGCAAGAATATAATATTCCTATAGTAGCTCAAAATACAATTTATTTTGAGCATAGGTCTATAAGTTATCTTTACACCTTTCGACACGAAGAGCACGCAAGCAGATCAAATCAAGTAAGAAGTACCTGTCTCTAATTTCTACATGCTAATTTACAAATTAAATTAAAAAAATCTATATGGATAATTAATTATCTACAAATTATCCACCTTTCTCAACGTTTAACCTATTAATTAAACAAAGATATGGCGTAACAATCATACAAATAAACATACAATCAAAATAAACACCTCACCCTTTTAAACTCAGTCAAAAACTTAAAAATAATATAACTAAATAGCATAAGCACTATATTTTCATTCGCAATAAACAGTTCAGTAACAATATCCAATTATTCAACACATGAGCATACGAATCCTTACTGCAATCGGACTGGCATTTAATTAGTTAGACGTAAAATTTCCGCTTCTACCTATTTTATCTCATATTGTTCCGAACTAAAGCAAACTTTTAACAGAATATGAAATGACTAATATTGTTTTTAACTAAGTGCACGACAGTGTGCGACTGAAATTACTGAAAGCCTTTTGTTTTTATAGCAAATGTTGTTAGAAGCTTTAT